CACTGGAGTGATTTGCTCCTGAGCAAACTCTGTGCTAGAGGAGGCAGCAGCCTCGGCGGCGAGGGTTAAACATCCCCAATTAATCACACGAACTCCGCGCAGAGCCAGCCGCAGTCACAGTTCAGCAATCCACAGGGTACATCCTCTGCCCAGAGGAGTCTCAGCCTAATTATTTTTTTCCCCTCTCCCTGTATCTCAATGTCACCTTCCTTGTAGCCATCGGGCAAATGACAGCCGCAGCCCTCTGCACGCCCCAGAGTGCAGATGTGTCCTCTGCGCGACTGCTTCCCGCTTGGGCCTGATGGGGAGGTTGCACAACGATGCTCTGGAGCCACGGAGCTGTTTGTTATCCTAGGAGAGGCTGCCTGCTCCACTTCCCGCTTCCTTCAAGGACCCCCAGGGGGATCAGGGTCTTTGGGACTTCCCAGAAAATCACACCACAGAATAGCAACCACCACTGAGAGCAGCAAGGGCAGAGCAGATCCTCTCCAAGGGCAGAGCAGATCCTCTCTGTCGAATCCCTCCTCCCACCATCAAGGAGAACTGCAAAATAAAACATCTGTGTCTGCCAGCAGGCATTGACTGCCTCTGTTCCTGCTGATCTGTGCCCCTTCCCTCTTGTAAGGACCTTCCTCCAGCCGCCTCATCCTTCACCTGGTTTGTGGGGAGCCTGGAGTCCTGGAGAGGTCATCCGTGGACACAGGGATTACAAGAAAGATTATAGGGAAAGGCTGCTGGAGAAAAGTTCCTTCCAATTTCACTCACTTGTATAAGTAACAAGCACTCTATCAGTCCAGCACCTCACTAGTCCTGCAATTTAACAACCCTTTTTTGGATCCAGGTATGATCTCAGCATCCCTGGCATCCCATGGCAGGCAGGGATTTGCCATGCAGAAAGCAATGCCACCTTTCCCCAATTTCATTTCCCGTTTTCACCTTCATTAAATAACCGATTGCTCATGCGCTGCAAAGAGGAAAATTAATTTTCTCCAAAACAACCCTTATTCTGAACAGTCTCCCTGCATCCTAACGTGAATTACCACGTTGCATTTGCTCATTTATGCCATATTTGATGGCATTTTTACCGTTTTTGTCCAGATGCCCTGTCAGTCTGCGCTGCACACAGGCCTGGCACTGTTAGGAACCCAGCTGAGAGTATGGCTGTGGCATGGAACCAACTCTGCTACACAGCAAGACCCCACGAGAGACAGCCACAGCCCCCAGGAGAAGCTTTGGTCAGGCTTCTCTCCTTCCTAGATAACTGCAAGGCTAAGGAGACCTGCTCTATCAGCCCCACCTGGAGCATCCAGCATCCAAGCCTCCTTGGCAAGGAGCAGTCACCTCTCATCATCTTGTTTTTTCTTTTAGCACCTCGGAGCTGCCCCCATAGGTCACCGTGTCACAGGCTGAGCCTCGTGTCATCTGTTCCCTTTGTGCCTCTCAGTGAAACCTCCAAGGATTTGTGAAAAATTAGGTTCAGGATAAACACAGAGAGGACGTGAGTGGGTAGGATTTGATGAAAACCCTCAGGATTTGATGTAAACCCTCACTGGCCACCGCACCCCTGAATATTTAGCTACAGACCAGTGTTTTGTATTGTTATCACTGTCTTAATCCTCCTAAAATCGCCACTGAAAATTTTCAATTTTCACTGAAAATGCAAACAAGGACGAAAAACACCAAAGCGTCTGAAACTCTTTATCACTTCTTCTTTTAGCTGTAAAACTTTTTCAGGGGGGAGGGGGGAAGTCCCCTCTACTTTCATAAATCCAAGTTCAAGCCAATGCAGCTTTTCCCCAAGAGAAAAAGCCACCAAACACATATTCTTTGCACCAGGCTGGTATGGGATCACACACACACATCCCTGTGCATGTACACACACGCCACAAAGATTTTCCTGATAAAAGTTCCAGGGAGCCCAGCTCTTTCCTGCAGACAGCTGGGATTTTGATGAGTTGGCACTTTTTGGTGCAGAAGTGTTTCATCAGATCTTTCCTGACCAGTTCTGCAGCTGTGTGCCGTGCACCCAGCACTCCTCTCCCAGGAGGAATAGGTTAGCTGAGCATTCCGAAAAGCTCCTGAAACTCTCCTTGCTGCTTCCAAGCCCAAAATCAGAGCTTCCCACAAGGAACATGCCCTCCTAAAAAATACATAGCTGCACAGTTGGAGTGGCTTTCAGGTGAAAATCTAAATAATTTACTACGTCGCATAAATTAATTTCCAGCATCAAAGACCAGGTTGTCTTTTTTTATTCCTGGAAAGTTTGCAACTTCCCTAAATTTCAGTAAATAAACCACCTTACCTTCAGCCCTCAACAGCTCTGTGAAGCTTTACACTTTTTCACAAATGGACTCGATGATCTTAGAGGTCTTTTCCAACCGAAATGATTCTGTAAAAAAAGAAATCGTTTTCAATTAAGTGAATAAAGTGCTCACATAATTTATTAAAGGATTTCTGAAATTCCTAGCTACTAACTATAAGAGGCTACGGGAGCTTTTCCCTTTTTCATTCCCAATGCGATGAATATTTCAGGCGGTGCACATGCAGAAGTCATGGGAGGATCATGAGGCTTTGGGGAGTGTAAGGCCTTTAGGGGACAGGGACAGACAAACTGGCCCAGTGGCTCCTTGGCACTCTGTTTGTTCCTGGAGGGAACCTCCCATGCTCAGCACACGTTTGGCAGGGACATCCCAAAACCTGCCAGCGTGGGAAAACCATCCAAGATGCAGCAAGGAAGGGCCAGCAAACACCAGCCCTAAAGCTGCCACCTATTGCACCACACCTGGTGTGGGGCTGGCCGGAGCAGGAGGAGTATTTCTCACCCCCTAAAACTGCAGAAACCGGTTCAACATGTGCCACAGCCTTCCCACCCCACACCGGTGAGGAAAGCTGCTGGGATTGCAAAAGCCAGGTATCCAGTTCCCATGCTGAGGAGGCACCTCTGCCAGTGGGGTTTGTGCCCATTCCCTCAGTGAACTGGCACTGCCTTTGCTCGGCATGCTGGACCACTGCCATGTTTGGGAAGCACAGGCAGGGGTGTGCACTTTGGTCAAAATTTGGGGCAATCCTCCTGGCCAAGCCTCTGCAAAAATCAATCGTTGTGCCAGACTGTCCCGTGGGAGCGAGGCAGGGACATCCCTTTGCAGAGGGATCTCTGCTGTGTGTATGTGGATGGGCACATCCCCCAGCACTCCACAGGCTCCATTCCCCTCCTGCCAGCTGCTCCAAGCCCAGGGCTACCTGTGCTCGCAGCTATCAGAGCCCAGAGATTTAGGAGAGGTGGGAATGAGGGAGGGAGGGATCCTCACCCTGGGATGGACAAAAGCCAAGTGGTACAGGGCTGTTCTCACCCCGCACAAGGAAGGAGGAAGGAAGCAGTGCCTGTGCCTTCCCGGGGAAGGAAGGGCAGCAGGAGCCGAGCAGACTGCCTGTAGCTCCCTCCTTTTTCCTCCCACACTGGCTGGGAACACAGCCTGGATGCGCTGCTCCTCCTGGGAACCATGGTGGGGACCCCAGCCCGGGGCAGGATGGGACCCCACAGTGCCAAGACTCCGGCACATAGGGTGAGAGGGACGTGGGGCCTCAGAGTGCTGCAGGGAGAGCTGTTGGAGCTTCCCTGTGGCTGGAAGTTTCCCCTCCTTCTTGGCAAGTTCATATTACTCATTTTATCAACTAGGACAGCGGATAAGCAAGGAGTGAGAAAGGTGCCTCCAATGCAGGGTGCAGAATAGAAATGAGCAGTAGGTGGAGGAAACCCTTTCAGCAGGAGATCCCTGTGCCTGTGCAGAGCAGGCAAAGGGTTGGGAACCCTTCTTTTTCCGGATTATCTCCACGCTTGGGCACAGGTTTTTGTGTTGTGGCCAATGAACCTGGCTGAAGAGGCTGGCTGGCTGGCTCATATGAGGTTTGTAAGACTGTAAATCCTGTGAGGGAGAAAAAAGTTACTGTCCTGGCTTTGGCATAAAGCACAAAATGTCCTCCACACAAAACAGTCTGGCATGGACAATACTGCTGCTAACTCCAGGTGTGCGAGGAGATGGTGGTTGAACTCCTTACCTCACTTCCTCTCTTCACTGAGAAGGCTGCTTTTTGTTCTTTTTTTTTTTTAATTAACATTATAAATCCACATAACACAAGGAAGAGGACATACACTGCCTTCTGCACTGTCTTGCTGGTGGCACAGTGATGCTGGTGATTCAGTCTGGGGACTGTTGTGGGAAGGCATTAGGTAGGAATATGGAACCACCTCTGTCATGGTAGGGCTGCTGAGACTAGGGCATCAAGGGAGGTGATCCCACCCCTCTACTCAGCCCTGGTAAGGCCACATTTGGAGTACTGTGAGCAGTTCTGGACTCCACAGTGTAAGAGAGCCATGGAGCTCCTGGAGCAGGTCCAGTGGAGAGCTACTGAGTTGGTCAAGGGTCTGGAGAATCTCACTTAGGAGGAAAGGCAGAGGGAGCTGGGCCTGTTCAGCCTGGAGAAGAGGTGACCGAGAGAGGACCTCATCAATGACTGTATCGGAAGGGAGAGGTCAGAGGATGGACCGAGCTCTGCTCAGTGGTGCTGATCCATAGGGCAAGAGGCCACGGGCAGACACTGATCCACAAGAAATTCCACCTCAACACGAGGAAGAACTTCTTTACTGTGCACTGGAACAAGAGACTAGGGAAGGTGTGGAGTCTCCCTCACCCAAGATATTCCAGAACCACCTGGACACGATCCTGTGCCATGTGCTCTGGGATGACCCTGCTTGAGCAGGGAGGTGGGACCAGATGACCAGGAGTGGTCCCTTCCCGCCTGACCGATTGTGTATGTGATTATGCGGGTGTGAGGACCCCGGGATGAACTGCGGGAGCGTCCCTGGCAGAGCCGGGACCGCTCCACGATCCCGCCGGACCGACCACCGCGCGCCATGGCGGGGCGACGTCACCAGACCACGCCCCTATAGGCGGTGCTGCGGGGGCGTGTCCTGATGGAGGCGTGACGGGGGCGGGGCCTGGCGAGGGGCGGGGCCTGTGGGCGGCCGTGGCGTGAGGCGGCGGCAGCGCCATGTCGATGGAGGACCCCTTCTTCGTGGTGAAGGGGTGAGTGCCGCCCGCGGGGGGCTCCGGGGCGCGGCCGGAGCGACCGGGAAGGGGCCGCGGGCGCTCCCGGGCGCGGAGCGGGCAGGCGCGGCCGCCCCGCAGCGCGGGAGGCCCGTGGAGAAGGGAGCGATCGGCGGGCGGGGGTCTCTGTATGGGGGGGAAAATGGCGGCCGGGCCCCCCCCGCGCTGCCGAGGGGCTGAGTGCGGGCACCGCGGGGGTCTGGCGGTGGCGGCCGGGCACGGGAGGCGCCGGGAGCAGGCGGGCGGGGGTCGGGCCGCGGCTGGGCCTCCCCGCTCTCCGCAGGGGCTCCTCGGCCCTGGGTGCAGGTGCGGCCCCGCGGGCAGCGGGCACTGCGGGCTGGCGGCTCGGGGCTGGGAGCCCCGGGGGGCCGCGGTGTCCCTGGGGGAAGGGGGAGAGAAGCGGGGACCAGGCTGTGGGACGGACAATGGCCGTGAGAGGAAGCGAGCGGAGAGGAGTCGGAACATAGGCAAACACAAAGGTGGTCAAGGGAAAATTATTCTTCATAGGGTGAAAGTAGCTCCGTTGGAGCTGCTGGAGAGAGTCCAGCAGAGACCACAAAGATGATTTGGGGTCTGGGGCATCCCTCTAATGAGGAGAGACTGCAGGAGCTGGGCCTGTTTAGTCTGGAGAAGAGAAGACTGAGAGGGGATCTCATCAATTCACATAAATGTCTCAAAGGTGCCAAGAGGCTGGTGCCAGACTCTGTTCAGTGGTGCCCAGCAGCAGGATGAGGAGCAATGGCCATGAACTCAAACACAATAAGTTCCACTTCAATATGAGGAAGAACTTCTTTACATTGAGGGTGGCAGAGCCCTGGAATAGGCTGCCCAGGGAAGTCGTGGAGTCTCCCTCCCTGGAGACATTGCAAACCCATCTGGACACATCCTGTGTCACCTGCTTCAGGTGACCCTGCCTTGGCTGGGAGGTTGGACTGGATGATCTCCAGAGGTCCCAACTCCAGCTATTCTGTGATTCTGTGAAAGCACTGCAGTCTCAAAACACAGCCCGGGGCCACCTTCAGCTTTGGCTGGGGGATGGTCTTCCGCTCCATGTCACAATGTAACAGCGCTGAGGAGCAGCAGAGAGGCTCGTAGGGGGGTGATGGGGGAAGGCACGGGAGTGCAGGAGGTGTGGGAAGGGATGCTGGTGCAGCCAGGGAAAGTGAGTCCCTCTGCCAGGTTGAAACGGTGCTAAGGGGAAAAAATAGGAGTTGCCATGGGTGGGGAACAAATGTCCTGTCAGACTTTCCAGAGAGATTCCTGCGGCATTTGGGGAAGGGCAGGGAGGGGAGAGGGGATGTGCTGCCGCTCCCAGAGTTAATTATTACCTGGCAGGTCTGAGGGGCTGGTGGTTGTGGAGCCAACTGGAGTTGCATTTAACTTGCTTTCCTGGTGTCTGTAACTCTTCCCGTCGGAGAACATCCAGCTCTGCTTTACATTCCTGCTTCTGGGTGCTTCCACAAGTGTGTTCAGATGAAAAAAAAAACCAACACAAAACCAAAAGCACTGCTGGCAAGTAGTGTAAGGAATGAAGTTTTCCAGATCCTGAGTGTGGGTTGCTGACTTTAGGGCACTGGATGTGGCAGACTCGGAGCCGTGGGCGTGCGGGAAGAGGAGGGGCACGCACTGGGGCACTGAGAGCTGCAGCTCAGATAGCAGTTTGAGGACTTCAGGCCCTGGTGTAACGCTGAGAGCTGCAGTCCTGGCACCCCTGCAGGGTGTGGGCTCATCTCATCTGTCCTGAGCTTCTCCTGGTGTTAGCCTGCTTTCCTTCACTGGGGTGAAACACCTGCATCTGACATGGATGCTGTGTGCAAGCTCATGGTGGCCACCTTTCACACCAGCACAGTCTGGTCTCGACTTCATTCCTCACCCCAACTCCCTGTGAACCTGGGGGAGCAGTTCACAGCTCAGGATCCCAGAGTTTGTAAATACAGATAACCACACTGAGGGCCCACCACCCAAAGTTACAAGCCTGCTTGCCCCAGAGCAGTGCTGTCAGCAAAGTCTTCCCCTGCTGTGAGTGCACTCGTCTCCAAAAGAGCTTAGAGCAGCAGAAAAAACTTGTGTTCCCTAAGCCAGCGTAGTAGGGCTGTGTATTTTTTTAAATGCTGAATTAAAATAAACAGTGCTGCACTCAACAGTCTGCCTGGCTGTGTTGTGGGGACAGTTCCTGTGACTCTGTGTGCCCTTGGGGTATCTTACATGGGTAGTCAAGAGCCTTCAGAGGAAAACTGTTGAAAGGAATGCAAAACATGGATTGCCAAAGAGCTGCCTCTTTCAGACCCTCTGCCCTGGCTTGCCTGTGTGACACTTCCCCTGAAGAAATAGGTCCCTTCATTAATAGCTGTAAGTTGCTACTCAGCACCTTGTGCTGCAGCAAGAGACAGGATTGTCCAGGAGGTAGGGCACATCCTTATTTTACAAACCAAACTAGTTGTTTGAAGGAAAGATGTTTGGGAGGAAGCCGTAGCTTCCCTGCTCAGCTGGACACGGGGCTGTCCCAGTGTCACTGCTGCGGGGCAGCTGATGATAATTCCTTGGCTTCTCTTCACTCCCCCCGGCTGCAGGGAGGTGCAGAAAGCCGTGAACACTGCCCAGGGGCTCTTCCAGAGGTGGACAGAGCTCTTGCAGGATCCCTCCATCGCCACGAGAGAAGAAATCGACTGGACCACAAATGAGCTCAGGAACAACCTGCGGAGCATTGAGTGGGACCTGGAAGACCTGGATGAAACGATTAATATCCTTTCTGTGGTCCTTTGGAGGTAGGGGCTTGTGGTTCCCAAGTCATACTAAATCCCCAAGTACCAGTGCTTGCCATTTTTTGCAGAAATCAGGACTGTTTGGGATTGAATTTTACATTTACATTTTACTCTTCTCAACCTGCAGATGAGAAATTAAGGCAAGGATTTTCCCTTTGCCTTTTTGTTTTCCTTTTTACAAGGTATATTCCGAGATGCTTTGTTCTAGAAAGCCTATTGTGTTGTCTGAATCTGGATTTCTGCGGAGTCAGTCATACTCTAGGCTGGCTTCCAGAAATACTCCTTTTCCCTTGTGTTCATCTGAGCGCTCCTGAAAGCGCTGCACAGCATCACAGAACCAAAAAAAACACATGGAAAGGAGGAACCTACCGCTGGTGCATGGTACATTCCTGCCATGCCTGTTCTTCCGTCCAGTGTTCCGTACTTCGCTAATCAAATTTTGGGAACAGGCACAGAACAATGGCCACTTGGCACACTCGGGGTTTTGTGTGTCCATGTGTGCACCCAACACCACTTCCGGGCACTCCTTGACTCGCTGCCCACGCATTGTTGAGGCAAACCCGCGGAAATTCAACCTCGATGCGACGGAGCTGGGCATCAGGAAAGCCTTCATCACCAGCACACGGCAGGTGGTCAGGGTAAGGAATGGGGTCAGAGCCTGGGGAAGGCAGGGGGGTTAAAAAAAGGTGGTTCAAAAAAGTCAAGCTTGGGAGCTGAGAATAAACCTGCTACCTGCTCTGTCCCAGGCTTCTCCTCTTCCCCGTGCGCTCCCGCCTGGGGCTGCCCAGGTGGGTTTGGGAGGGTCATGGCATTCCCTCCTTTTCTGCTGCTGTCCCCGGAAGTCTTCACACCTCTCTTACAACAGTGAGCCTGAGAATGTGTAGTAACTGGGGGGGAAGAGTAAAGACCCTGCTGTGATGCAGGGGAGGCTGGAGCTTCCCTTCAGAGTTTGGGGAAACCACAACTGTCCTGACCACTTGTAGCACTAGTTTTCAAAAATAGGGAGACCACTTTAAACACTGGCAGATGGTTACAGCCTGGCGTTATTGACATGGTGACTTCAACTTCCTACCCCTGAAAAATAGGCCAAGCAACCACTAGATTTATTTTTAACTCAAGGAGGATTTTTTTTAGTTTAAGATCACACTTCAGAAGCAAAAAGGGGATTTTAACAACTTGGTAGCAACAAAAAAAGAAGAAATGTCTTCCCCAAAGCCTCGCTGCCTGGTAACAAGCTGCTAGTTAGGAAGTTTTCTCTCTATTAATAGCCGCACTGAGTTTCTGCTGCCCCTCATGACTCTGATGTTCCTGCTCCACAGAATGCACTGCTGTGGCTGGCAGCAGGCTTGTAACCCCACCTGCAGTCCTGTGGTCTGGGTGCAGTTCCTAAGGCTTACCTGGGAACTGATCCCAAAACCTCGCTGGCCCCAGGTAGCAGGTATGTGCTCGCTGCCTTGCCCCTGGTGTGGTCCACTCCCAAACAGGCAGGATCAGGCAAGTCTACTCTCTGGTCCTCTTCACCTGGCTGAAAACTGCTGGCTAATGGCTTTTGGAGCAATGTCTCCTGCTGGTAAATGAAACTGGTTAGTGGCAGTGTGCAGCTGACTTCCAGTTTTTGGGGACGAATTCGTGATGTGCAGCAGCACATGCATTATTAGCCAGGGAGAAGTAACCGATGGGATCTGGTGCTCTTGAGTGATAAGTTGCACATCTCTGAACAGTAAAACACACCTGAATGCTCTGATGACATCAGAATTGTGCTGGTGGATCAGCCTCTGCCAGATCATGTTGACTACTTGCTAATCTATAAAAACTAGACTATGTTATGTTGAGATGGGGAGCCTTCTGTGGTTAGTGACCTTCTGCAGGAATTTCACAGCAAAAATTAATTGGTAAGGAGAAAACCTAGGCACAGACAGAGAGGATGGCCACACGACAGGAAACCTACCTCATCCTATGCAATACAAAACCTGGGAACAAAGCACAGGGGTTTACAGGCTTCCAAGGCCTTAACGAACATTACTCTTCCTTATGCTCCATCAATGGGAATATTAGTTTATTATACAAATCAAAGTGTTTCTGGTTGTAGTAGAGCAAAATGAGTAGTAAATAAGGAATATTATCAAAATATCCCATTGCTATTGGTTTTAGCATTAGTAGAACAATATGAACTGCAATGAAACTTTCTACGATATCTTTCCAGACTCTTCAAAACTCCACATTCTCAAAGAAAACCTCCCTTCCCTTGCTGGGTATAGACAGCCCTGTAGCACCCTGGAACTGCCTGTCACCTCAAATCCAATGCTCACATGCTGCTTCTTTTGTTGAACAAACAGGATATGAAGGATCAGATGTCCAACTCCTCCATGCAAGCGCTGGCTGAAAGAAAAAACAGGCAGGTGAGAGCCAGAAACAGGCAACATATATCTGTTACAATGTATATCCTGTCTGTAGTTGATTCCCTTATAAACCTTTGTTCTGGGAAGGGGTTTGCACGTGTGGGCCGAGCTGTGTGTTTGAGCCGTGTCTGTTTGGCTGACCTGGGAGAGCTGGTTCTCGCAGGCACGTTGCTGCCACCCTTTTCCAAGCCTGTCTCTCAAAGCAGTAAGTCAGCACTCGCCATCTGTCTGTGTCCTCAGATCTAGTTGTGTACAACTGTCACCGTTGCATCATCCCTTGGAAAGGGAAATCTCCCTCCTCCTCCTCGGGGGAACCGCCTCAGAATCCATGTCAGTGAATGTAATCCTGCTCTCTGCTGGATTTAGGAGCCAAGATGGTGCAATATCCTTTTGCACAGCTGCCTCCCATCATAGCCATGTGAGAAGATGGAAGAAGCTCAAGGAATCTTGGATTGTCTGCACTTGTAATCTAAGGCACAGAACTAGATGCAGCTTGTGCTCCTTCCTGGCTGACAGGGAGGCTGTAAGGAGATCCCGGAGCTGACTTCCAGAGCCATCTCAGTAAAGCTGGTGTGCACAGTTCACTTGTCTGTTCTGCATCAGCCTTACCACCTGTGGCAAAAATAACAAACTGCAACAAGCCACTGAGAAACAGAGAGCTGGATCCTGAGCTTGTCACAGGGCTAATTGATGTGCTTGGCAAACACTCGAGGCAGCAAAGTCCCTGACACCCTTGCTCAAACAAGCCTGTAGCTTTCCGTGGGATTTGTTGCTTCCCTTTGCACAAGGTTCCTGCTGGCCGTGGGAGACCATATGGCCCAGCTCATGTGGTGACATCTGGTCAGGAAAACTGACTTCCCCTTGCTGCCTTCCTCTCCCTTCCCAGCCCCTCGCCTTCCCTCCAGCCCACAAGGCTCATGCTGGGCTGCAGAGGCTGCTGGACTCCATGTCTGAGGAGCTGCTAGTGCTGACCTGACCCTCACAGCTAAGGCTGGCAAACAGGCCTCTCTATTGAAGCTGCAGCAAAACTAGTGCACAGCATTAAATACACAGTAGCTGCCACAAACTGGAGGGAACCAGGGGCTCGCTCAGTGTCAGGGGAGCAGACAGAGCCAGATGTCCTGCTGGCTTCCTGCACGGTCAGACTGTCAGCTTTCCTCACCCCTCCTTGAACCTTATAAGGCAGATGAACCAGAAAGACTGTCTAGTTTTCAACCTGACAGAGCAACCTGGTTGTTGTCTTGCTTTTCTTCACAAATACTCAGTCATCCCCTCCTGCCCACGAGCAGGGGCTGCAGGGTGGTCTTGTTACAAGTCAGCCTTGCCTCCACACTGGTGGGCGCAGCTCCCTAACTCATCCCTACTGCAGCAGGGTGCAGCTCCTCACCTGCAGGTCATGTGCATTGTCCAGCACCTGTTGCTTGTGTTACTCCACTTCCAGGGACCAGACATACTCAGCTGGAAAGCTGCATCTCTGCTGGCTCTGCACAAGCTTTCCTCTGTCCGGGTTGTAGGGCAGGGAGCAAGTGTAACCTTGTAAGCTGGCAGCTGAACCACCTGCTGGAGGGACAGGCAGCCTGGATCATAGAACATAAGCATACAGCACTGTTTTGGTTATATTGCACTATCTTACTGTCAGCTCAACTGGTTTAAGTACTTTATCCAGACCCTCTTAAGCCCCTGTCATTAGCAGCACAGCGCTCAGTTCGAGCTGTACATCTGTTAACACAATATATCCGGATACTTCCCAGCTCACATGTCCCAGCACACAGTGCTGTGCCTCTTGAGCAGGCCTTTGCTGGTCCTTTGTGCTGTGCAGACCTCCTGCCATACTCCAGCTCTCCTGCTGCTGGAGAGGCATATCTGCAATACAAGGCTGCAGAGACTTCCCAGGCTGGCATTTTGGCATTGTATTGGTTTAGTCCATGACAGAAGTTTGGCTGAGTAGCAACAGAGCAGGAGGAAAGGGATGCTCTGTGTGTGTGTGTGTACAGGAGTGTTGCCTTGTCTGCCTTCCCACTACACCCTGCAGATGGGCTGTGAGCAGACACAAGGGTGTTGCTAAGGGCTCTCTGCATCTGTTTAGGCACTCCTGGGAGACAGTGGGAGTCAGAGTTGGAGCTCTGGACCTGACAAATACAGCCGTCTGGACCGGGAGCTGCAATTAGCAAATTCACACTTCATCGAGGAGCAGCAAGCACAACAACAGGTAAGGCAGCTGGCACCATGTGGAATAAATAGCTTTGCTGCCAAATGGGTGCCGGGGGGATGAGGTACAGGCAGTGAGAGCCAAAAAAAATCCAGTCCTTGGCTGGTCTGGATCCAGGAGCCTGACAGTCGTCTTCTTTGCTTGTGGCATGTATCTTTGCATGTGTTTCCTGTACAGCACAGCTTTGGATGCATCTTGGCACTGAGCTTTTAACCTTTGAGGCATGAGGCTTCTGCTCTGTTTAGAAGGCAATCAGCATGATCTGGATTATGTAGCATGCTGAGCTGTAATAGTACAAGGATTGCTGAAATCCTTGGAAGAGTAGAAACGTTGCAAACAGAAAAGAAGCCGTTTCTCTTATGCAACTTCCCCCAGTTAAAAAGTGTTTGCTGTTGTTGTTGTGCATCTCCCTCGGAACAGGCTGGGAGCAGGAGCACGCGCCTGCTTCCTTTTCCTGCCTTTGTCACCGTGAGATTAGTGAGAAAGCCTGAGCTTTGGGAGAACCCCTGGCGAGGCACTTCCCAGCTGACACTTCCCAGCTGACAGGGGAGTTTGCCTGGAGAAGTGCCCAGGCCGGGCACAGACCATGTGCAGCAGCCCAGCCAACTACAGGCCTTTACTCAGGCAGCTTCTCAGAGGTGGCAAACTCTGCTAAATCTCCTGACCTGTGACGCCTCCCCAGCTTCCAGAAGTGTTTTACCTACTGACTCTAGGAAGATAAATAGATTCAGAAATAGGTAACTAGGGTAAATCTAATCCTTAGCATGACTCTGTCCTGAAAATGACTTAAAACATCAGCAGACTTATTCCTTTGGCACATGGAGCCAGGCTGGCTATTTTTAGCTGTAGAAGCTGCAACAGCCTCTTAACTTGCATTAACCCCTTGTTAGCTGCAGCATGTTCCAGGTTGCATTTCCCAGGCACAGCATCAGCATGGCTCCCAGATGTCCTCTGCCGTACTTGCTTACCTTGCCAAGGTTTTGATGACCAGTTCCTGTGGCTTCCCACAGTCGCTTTAGCTGTGGGTGCAGTGTGGCCGAACTGAGGCTGGATTTGCAGGGATGTCCGGAGGCTGCAGCCTGCTGTGCCATGGGGATGCCATGCCATGGAGGCTTTCCTGTGGCTGTCACCTCTCCAGCATTTCTTAGGAACGCGGTCCTCATTCCTGGTGGCTTAAGTCTGAGCCCAGGCCTCACAGCTGATGTTGGCTGAGCAGCAAGTGCCTGTCCACTGGATCAGCTGGTTCCAGCCCAGCTGCAGGAGGCAGACCTGTAACTGCCCGTTTCCCTTCTCTCTGGCCCCAGTTGATTGTGGAGCAGCAAGATGAGCAGTTGGAGCTGGTCTCTGGCAGCATCGGGGTGCTGAAGAACATGTCCCAGCGCATTGGCGGGGAGCTGGAGGAGCAAGCAGTGTAAGTGTGGGATGTGGCAACAAAAACCCAGTATGGGGTTGGCTGCAACACAGCTGGAGGTCCTCAAACACCTCTCTCTGCCTCTGTTAGGGCCTTGAATTTACTGGTCCCTCAGGCAGCCTCTCCCTGCCAGCCTTTGGAAAGCATTTTGTACTGTAATCTGCAAGGATCCAACTGCAGCCTCCTTCATTTGAAAGCCTGCACCTAGGGCAGGCTTAGCTGCCAGCTTACCTTTCCTCCTCTTCTCTTTCCACATGCTCCCCCTCAGGCAGCCAGCAGACAAATAAGAGAGGGAGGTGCTGTGTAAGGGGGGATACTGAGCACTTCCCCACTCCACAGGGTTTTGTGCTGATAACTGCTGGAGCTGGGAGCTCTCAGCTCTGCCTCGCTGCCCTGAAACACACAACAGAGGTGCTCTTCATCATTAAAGCTAAAAATAGCCCTCACCCACGCAAAGGGTTAAAGGGCAGCTCACAAAGTCATTTGCATCCACCCATTTACATATAAATTAGATTTCTCTCCCAGTTCTTGTCCTTTGCAAACAAGTTCCCAGTTGTGCAGGCTAACAGCAGTGCTTCCAGAGAGGCTTGAAGGGTTCATACCTAAAAACCCTCCTTGTTTGGCTGGTAGGAGTCTGGAGGGCCATGCCACTTGTGACGTGGTGTCGTCTTTGATGGAGAGGGGGGACTTTAAACCCACCCTCCCTGTGAAGTCCTGCAGTGTGAGAGTCCTCTGCTCTCACAGAAGAGGTCAGTGTGGTATGTCTGTTTTCAGATAATCACACAAGCCATCGGTGCTTGCTAGACTAGCACACAATTACCACAGTGAGGTTTTTACAACTCTTCCCTTCTCCCCACTGAATGAAGGTTTAACAAGTGCCCTAGAACTCCAGATGAAGGAAGCTGTCCTTTTAAACACGTTAAGCTTTAAAGTCCCACTGGCTGGAGACAATTGGATTTGTACCTTGATTCTGGATGTTCAGTGGCATTGATAAAGCATGGATTCAGGAAGGCTTTCAGATTCATTGCAGTTGCTGAGTGGAAGAAGTAGAGAGGTAACTTCCACGCAGAGCTTAAAAAGCACCTTCAAAGCAATTGCAGATCTCATTCCCGCTTGATACATGACTGAAACAAGATTTTAGCTTCCACTGCAAGCCTTGAACAAGAAAAGAGATTTAAAGTCCAAGCTGGCACCTAGATCTGACTAGTCTCTGCTAATCACAGATTATAAATGAGACTTTCCTCTTGTAAGGAGGAAAGCCCGCCCCTCACCTTGCAGATGCGTGAGAGCTCAGCTGCAAACACACAGCAGGGATCAGTCTGACAGGAGTCCCAAATTACTTCCCGCTTCCCACCAAAGCAGAGCTGCTGCTTCAGCAGGTTTTTTCTCCCCTTGGGTGCTTCCAGGAGATTGAGGCATGCTCATTTTCTCTGCCAAAGTGTGATACTCTGATCCCATCAGTGTTTTGATCAGTGTGTGTGAGCGCACTGTGAAATCCTGCCGACCAGTGTCCTGCTTCTGTGTCCCCAGGATGCTGGATGACTTCTCCCACGAGTTAGACAGCACTCAGTCGCGGCTTGATAACGTCATGAAGAAGCTCGCCAAAGTGTCTCACATGACGAGTGGTAGGTCCTGGGAAGTGGGATCCAGTCCTGGAAAGGCAGGGATAAGCCTTCAGATCTTCAGGCTGGGACACTGTGTGCTCCCACCCACCCAGCAGAGGGGAGGGAGCAGCTCTCAGTGCTTGAACGAGGGGGAGGACTTCCCAGCCCAGCAGCTGCCTTTGTTTTATTTACAGATGCCTTTCTATTTATGCCACTACTGCTGGGAAAATCCCCTTCTGGCTGGTAGGAGGGGAAGCTCTGCAGCCTCCTGCTCTGCTGCAGTTTCCCGTGCTGCCAGTGGAACAAAAGCTGTCAAGGTGCCATTAACCCTGGTCACTGTGTGTGGCTTCCCCCACACCGGAATGCCTGCGGCAAGCCCCTTCCCAAATCCCACCTGCCCTCGGGCTGCTGGCGCCTGCAGGCCTGTGGTTGATCAGATCAGCTGGTGGAGGAAAGGGCTGAATTCTGTGCTGAACCCAGAGAAAAGTCCTTATAAGGCTGTGCCTGAAGCCGGTGGGCTGGCGGAGCGCCATGGGCAGAGCAAACAGGAAGCCCGGCGTGCCTGCCGGGAAGTCCCCCGCCGCCAGCTCGCCTCTCCCAGCGCTGGCGGGGCGCCCGGCGTCACCTCCTCCAGTACCCCTCTCCTGTGGGTGCTCAGGTACCTTCTGAAGGCAGCAGCCAACCAGGACGAAAAGCATTCCTGCTCTGCGGGATTAGGCTGTCCGGGGGATTTATGGGGTGGTGGGAATACAGCCCTAGAGAGACCACTTGGAGTGCTGACAGTGCACTTTGGGTCACCAGTAGCCCAGCAGCAGCACAACCGCTGGCAAACCTTGTGTATCTGCCCTTTCCTCTGGGAAAACCCATGAATCATTGCAGAGTGTTTCCGAGTGTTGTGAAAAGAGCATTTCTGCTGGCATCTCGTACCAGGGCCGACCAGGAGAGCTCTTCCCAGGGTAGCTGCTGAGCCCAGGAGTTGGGGGGTGCCAGCAGCCCTGTTCCCACTGCTGCACCATTGTCTGACAGGGGCAGACAGCAGCTCTCAGAGGCAATGCAATGTTGAGCCAATGAAGTGTAAAGATGTCCAGGGAAACCTTATTCCTGGCCCTCTCCTAAGGGGAGCTGCCACAAGCTCTTCCTGGCAGAGCTCTTCAGGGCAGCTTTCACCAGATCCCTTCTTGTTCCTCTAGCAAACAGATTACTCCATGAATGAACAGCGAACATGGCAGCTCTCTGCTTGTTCCTTCCAATTGTCTTTGAACCAGCTTATCAAATCCGTTTGAACTTAGTTGGGGAGAAACCTCAGAATTCTCACAGCTGTTCCTGAAACCCGATGTATCCTGGAGGAGAAAGGCTGTGGCGTTGTATCTTGCAGTAAGGCATGCTCCCACAGGAACTGCTGTTTTGGCTTGTTATGGCTTTAAGCTTCTTAAGGCTTTGAGCTCCTAGCAGTACAACAAAGGAAAGTGCTCCCCCAATTTTCCTTCCCCACTATAGCAGGAAGACTGATGCTTCCTTTTCCTTCCAGATCGACGGCAGTGGTGTGCAATTATCGTCCTCTTCATCATCTTACTGGTGGTGCTCATCCTGTTCCTTGTCCTGTGACGGACTGAACTTCCTTGGACGCCCCCTCCCCGCCCCCTCGCCCCGGCAGCACGGGGAAATGAAACTCTCACTGTTTCCGTCCGCCCACAGAGATCCCCGGCAAGACAACCCGCACCCAGCTCTCACCATCCTCCTCCGAGGACTGCGGCTCAGCTTTGCCGGCGTCTCACCTGGCCCCGGGGAGAGGGGCTGGAGGACTGGAGCTGCCTCCTCCCCTGGTGCGGTGTGATCTGGACCTGAGCTCCAGGTCTGGACCCGGGGAGCTGGAGGGGGACTCAAGCCGTGCGTTTCCACCCGGTGCAGGTAGGAGCTGGTCACGGCGGTCCCGAGCCGCCTGCGGTGGAATGCGGACACAGAGCAGCGAGCCCTGGGGAGGACGGGACAGGGAGGAGGAATTAATGAATTCACTGAGCATTACAAACCGCACCAGCCACGAACGTTACCGAGCAGTGTAAGACCCCAAGAGCCGCGGCAAGGGAGGGGAGGCCTGGCCACACTCCCCCTGCCCCACGCCGCCTCCCCCCTGCCGCGGGCCGGCTCTGTGCCGCTGACTCACCTCTCAGAGAGCACGGTGAGTCCGCAGCAGAGCCTTCCCACCCTCCACACCTGGGCAGAAGGCAGAGCCGGAGGGTCTCGTGTCCTGCCATCGGCCACCCGGTCACCGTTAGACACCCCAGAGCTTTAAACTTGGGTTGCTGCACGCCAAGCACTGGCAATCAGCCGTGAGCAGGAGAGGGAGTGTCTTAAAGCTTTTAAAATTGCCTCCCTCATTATGCAGCCTCTGAAGCTCGTTTACTGATGCTTTCCTTGCCCTTGTATAACTGAGTCACTGCTTCTGTTTAACAGCTGCTTCCCTTTGGCAAGTGATTTGTCAGGTCTAAAATAACTTATTTTTTTTAAGGAAAAAAAACTCTGAAGATTTTTTTGATGACCGAGCCACGTTCTCTCTGCGGGTGCACGACATGCATGATCAGAGAAACAGTGCTCAATGATGTATTTTAAGTGCATATGAACTTGTAAATATGATGTCTTAATTTTTCCCAACCATTATTTTTTGGACACCTCCATTGTAAGCAACCAAAAGGCTGGAGATTCAAAGCTATATCATGTTCCCATGTTCCTTCCCAGTCCTTTTGTTACCTCCAAGTTGTTTGTCACTTGAGTTGTCTCAGCAGTGTCAGGTAGCCGAGTTGTCTCCCTCCTACAGGGAATGTGGAGTAGCCAGGTGGGCAATACCAAAATGTGGCAAAGAAAGCTCACCTGGGCAGTGTCACTGGGGAGGAACAGGCAGGCACAGGGGTCATGCTGCAAGCACTGATAATGGGATGTGGGGTGACCCTTCAGGAAAGCAAAAATGGTTTCTTACTTCAGTCTGCTCCCATATTTAAGCTGCAAACATGAAAAGACTCAGGACAGGCTGGCTTATGGCTCCCAGATGGGCTGGGGGAGGAAGTTAATTGGCACTGACGCAAAGACTTCTGCTGCAATTGCAAATCGCCCCCAAAATCGTCCTCCCAGCCTTGGAAGCTCACCACCGGACGGCTTTACCTCCGGGACTAAACACTCCTCCCCACCGGGTTTGTGGCTCCCTCCAAGGTCTGTGTGCCCCCTGTCCCCGCCGCTGGATGCACAGCTGGCGGCACCGTGCCTTCCGCAGCCGGGTGCCGGATGGGGGCCCAGCTGAGCTTCCATGTGCCCACCTGGGTGCTCTCGCCGTTAACGCACACGTGGTGCCCTCGGTGCCCACCCACACTCCTCATTTCACAGTGGCTCCTTATCCTTGCAGAGCATCCCGTTTCCTTTGGTTACGCTGCGAGGAATAGGCAGTGTCTGTTTTTCAGGGCTGGCTATCGCGGTGTCTGCACCGCTCTCCTCGGGCTTATACCTCTCCAAGAGCAGGTTCCCGGGAGCGTGAGTCTGGCCATGGAGCAGGGCTCGCTGCCGGACGGTGTTTGCACACCTCCGATCCCTGCATTGTTGTCGGTGTGGTTGTGCATCCTCCGGAAATGACTCCTGTGCAGGACTGCTCCTTCAGTAGTCCAGGGGGTGGCCCAGCTGCTGGAATCACTGCACGCCACCCAACTGTCTCTGGTCCCTTTTCCTGTGTACATTTGCTTTTCTGTTGCTGGTGGTGCCCCTCCTGTTAACACTAAATAAAGGTGCAGCAAGTGCAGATCTCCAGTCCTCACCTGACTCTTGCTCCAGGACAAGCAGAGGGTCTCCTGGCACTAGGGAGTGGGGAAAACTCCCACCAGCATCTACTGGGCATCACCCTCCTGGCTTTTGAGGCACTGCAGGTTTTGGGGTCCCCTCTGCACTGCAGGCAGCTGTGCTCAGATGTGGGGGATGCTGCAGGCAGCTGTGCCCAGATGTGGGACACCACCATGCAGAGGGCAGCCATTGCTGCCATGCCACCTCTGTTTGCTGGAGAGACACATTTTGGCACGAGTTTCCCCTTCCATGGCTGGAAAAAAGAACTCAAACTCTCTCCAAGGCTGAGGTCCTCCCCACCCCCAGCAGTGCCATGGGAAAACAGGCAGCAAAGACCACCCACCCCCGGCCCATGCCAGCAAGCAGAACCCCAGCCCCTCCATGCCAGCCACAAGCCAAGGGCAGTATTTCGTTATTCCAGAGATATATTTTTGAGTTTCAGTTTAAAATAATTTAAAAGAACCCCACCAGCCTGTGGGTGCAGGTTGGCAGCACTGGCAAGGAGCCCCCTGTCTCCTGGGGTCACAGAGATGGGGTGTCCCCACACTGGTCACCCCAGTGCCCAGCAGGACAGACCCGCCTGGCTCTGTCAGGGCTGGGCTGTTCCCTTTCCCCACACTTGGGGCAGCTGTTGGAGACACTGGACACTGTCTGGGGGGGGTCCTTGATCCCAGTCTGTCTCCAGGAGGGGCTGGGAAAGCTGCCTGCCCCCACTGCAGTGGTGAGCCAAGTACTGCACCGGAGCAGGCCAGGTCCTGGTGCCAAGAGGCAGCTTGGTCCACGCTGTGCCATCCTGCAGCATCCTGGGACATCATTGGGATTTCATTCTCCTCATGCTGAGCTTCGCAGGAGCTGTGCCAGGGCTACCGTGGTGGCGGGCGGTGCCGGAGCACGCGGAGGGACAGGGTGTCCGCCTGGAGCAGCAGCTCACGGATGCGGGGCAGCCCCAGCCCCGACACGGCCGCGCCATTGACCTGCAGGATCTCGTCCCCCACGCCCAGGAGCCCCGCATACAGCTTGGCCGTGCCGGCATCCGCCATCTCCTGCACGTACACGCCTGTGGAGAGGGACAGGGCAGGTGAGACCCCACCCTGCCCCCCACAGCCTGGGTGCCCGGGGGCTGCACAGTAACTGACTCATGATAAACGGCCTTTGGGACAGGCTGCGTGTCCCAAGCCATGGGCTGATGGACACGGGATTGTGCGTGGCTGAAGCCACACGTGGCAGCATCCTCCCATCCACTGCCACTCCTCTGGGGCTCAGCGGGGATGAAGCAGCCCCCTCCACCCATCCCCAAGCTCGCTCCTGGGGAGGGACGAGAGCCACCATGGATGGACCGTGTGTGCAGTGCCAAAGCTTTGGGATGATCCCTCTGTACCTGTGTCAGGCCGGCCGTGCCCAGAGGTGACGGAGAACCCAAAGGCGCCGTTGGGGGGTCGCTGCAGCTCCAGCTGGCTGGTGCCATCAGGGAACACCTCCACCACGCGTCCCACCGCGCGCAGCCGGCCGGGTGCCCCGATGTCCTCCACGCTCAGCGAGCGCCGTGGCCCCGAGCCCCCCTTCCTGTGGGGAGAGGGGAGATGGGGTGAACGAGGACGCGGGAAGCTTCTGGGGACCAGGGGGTGGGGCCCCCAGCTGCACTGAGCCACCACCTGTGACTCAGCACCCTGGAACAGCCTTCCTGGGCACAGTGGGGATGTGCTGGGCCCCATCCTACCTGTCAGCTGTGGTCTGGGGCAGGAGGTAGGCGCTGGCACGGGGTGCTTTGCCCAGGAGGGGATGCAGGCTCTGGATAGAGGAGGCTTTTTGGGGCTGGCAGAAGGGTGACACCTGTGGAAAAGCACCTGGCTGAGATGAGGACAGTCACACTCACTGTGCAGCACTGCAGCGCTTCACCCACTGATGTGCTGAAGGAGCAGGGGGCATTGGGGCATCCCACCCCCTTGGAGCACTCCCCAGCCCACTGCTGAGGAGGGAGGAGCCAGGATACCCGCCTAAGGAGCAGCATTTCCTGGGGAGGCACCTTCCTGCTCACCTGGCTGGGACACATGACCCACAACCGCAGAACAAATTACTCCCAACTCCCCTCCCCAAAACACTCCCCCGCAGTTCCTCCTTCCCCCTTCCACTCCCCCATGGCTCCCAGCTTTTCAAACCCAGCAGGTTTGGGGTGGCACATGCCCCCACACCCCACCAGGACCACCATGCCTAGGAATGCTCCACCCCAGCCTAGCGCCCCTTCTCTAGCAGGATGCCCATCTCCCCATGGACACACCGCGCGTGGGGTGATGTCCAAGCTCACCAGCTGCAGGGACTGCAGGGAGGGCGACTTCTTCATGCCAGAGCCCCCCGGGGGGGAGCTGCCGGGGGCCGGGAGCTGCTCCATGCTGTAGCAGCGGAAGCGGCCCAGGCGCTCCTTGGTGCTCTGGCTCAGGCTGCACAGGAGCTTCTTCAGCCCCGACGCTGAAGCGCTGCTGCCCTTGCGGCTCGCTGGCCGCCCCGGCTCCCTGGGTGGAGAGGGATGATGGTCACCCACCGTGTCTCTGTCTGGGGGGCAACAGGACTGGCAGCTGCCTCAGGGCTGGGGGCACATCCTGCACCAGCTTCTGCAGCCTTGAGAGCCAAAATTGAGGTGCACGGTGAGATCAGGCTGCAGCCGCCTCCCCACAGCAGTGACCCAGCATGCACAAGTTTGTCACCACCCAAAGCAATTCCTCCCTGTTTTCCCCATAATTTCAGGGGTTTAACATCTCTCAGACCTCCCCTGCTCTCTGGCCCAAGGGATCACATCCTGCCAAGGGGCTCAAAGGACCCAGCACCACCTCCAAACCCTCCTGCCAGGCTGAGACCCAGGCACAGGGCAGTGGGATCATTCTTGGGGAGCCCCAAGGCAGCTGATCTTTCCCAAAGGGGAGAACGTGACGCTGAACAAAACACCTCCATCACATTTGCTGTAACACCCTCGGTGGAACCAGATGCAGGGCAAAAATGTAGCTCCCCAAATCACACTAACTCCCAAACCCACACCCATACATGGGCACACTGTCACCCCCATATTGTGGTTTCTGGGAGGTTTTGGGGGCTGAAGGGTCGAGTCCCATCGGGAAGCCTCAGGGGGCTCAGCATGGTGGCATCCTGCAACGCCCAGGAGGGGTTCTTGGGGCTGCACGATGCAGAACACCATGGCCCCTCACACTCACCCCTGTGCTGCGCTCCCAGCTGGGTGCTGCTGCTGCTGCTGCGCTCCAGGTGTCCCAGCACCTTCCCTGGCAGGATGAGCAGCCTCCTGGGGCACGGGTGTGGCAGGGCCGGCGGTGGAGTGTGACACTGCCCCTGTAACCACAGCGAGACAGTCATGTGCCGGCTTTTTGGGGACCCCCCAGGACCCCCTGCACGGGTCTCTTACCTCTGCCCGCCCCCGGGGCATCCTGCCCGTGGGTGTTGTTGCAGTTGTTGGTGGACAAGGCACGGAGGGGGCTCCCCGGGAGCCATCTGGGGCTGCAGGGACTTCTCCGCCCCTCTGTGCCCCCAGGCTGGGGGGAGGCAGCGCTGCCAGCATTGGGCTCTGGGCCTTGGGATCCTTGGCTCGATGCACGGCGGCTGCCACTGGAGAAGAGGGCTTTCCTGCAAGGCACCTGGGAGCAGGCCTTCTTGGTGGGGGGGGGAGCAGGGAGGTGGGTGCCTGGAGTGGGGGTGCTGGTCCTCAGCTGAGAGGAAGGGTCCAGGGGCTCACTGGGCTGCTGTGGGGGATGAGTGGTGCTCCCCACCCCCTTGCTGCCCCCCAGATACCGATGTGGTTCCCCATCCTCCTGGCTGCTGGCTCTCCTTTGCGGTGGGGGACAAACAGCCCCTGTTTGGCTTGTGGCACCACCTGAGGTCCCCCCGTCCTCTGCGCGGGGGCCACCACTGGCCACACAGGTCCCCTTCCTGGCCCTCGTCTCCGGCGGTGGGGTGGCACGGGGGGCTCTGTGCCCGCGAGTCCGGGGGTCCCGGTGCCCCCGGAGGTGGGGGCTGCGGGGTCCCGCCTCCTCGCTGTCCGTCCGGCAGCCGTCGGAGGTGTCGGTGCTCTCCAGGGCCGAGTCCACCTCGTCGATGTAGGTGACGTCCCCGATGTACGTCTCCTTGATCTTCTCGGTGTGGATGCGCTGCCGGGAGGGGAGGATCCACAGTGGGGACCCTCCGGGGCCCAGGGGCCTGATTTTGGGCTCTGTCTGCGCAGCGCTTGGCCCCCTGCTGTCCCCCGGGATGCTTCTTTGTGCCGCAGGGCTGCTTTGGGCCGCGAAGGCGGCAGCTTGTGCGTCCGTGCCCCGGCCGGCGGCAGCACCGAGGAAGGAGCCGCAGGCGCTGCACTTGCCCCCGGCCACGAGGTCGCCGCTCCGGGCTCTGGGCTGGCCAGCCCCGTCCCCCGGCTGCCTGCTGCCGGCTGGCTCCGGCGAGGAGAGCGCCGAGCTCAGCGCCCGCCGGTGCCGCAGCTGCAGCCGCTCCAGGTACCGCACCTCGGCGTCGCGGGCCGACTCGTCCTCGAAGCGGACGCGGGATGGGGACGGTCCCCGCGGCCGCCGCGGCCGCCCGCAGCTCGACTCCCCGCTGGACGAGTCGCTCAGGCTCCCGCCGTCCCGCGGGGCCACGCTCGGCCTCCCGCTGGGCTCCCTGCCGTGGGGACAGACAGACGGACACGGGCAAGCTGCAAGGGCTGCCCGGGTCCCTTGGGAAAGCAGGGTGGGAGGGGGAAAACCCAGCGCAGACGATGGGGCAAGGAGGAAAGTTCACCCGATGCTCCCTGGCTGTGTACGCCCTGCTCCCGCTCCAGCCTAAAGCTGGAATTTGGAGAGGCTGCGGCACTATCCCGCTGCCACAGCCCAACCTCCATCACCCTTCCCCTGCCCCGAGGTGTGTGGTTAATCATTCCGGGAACACCACATTGCACATGACCCAGCACACACGGTGAGGTGCCGCTTTGGTTCAGCCTCCAGCAGCGAGTGTGCCCCGGGAAAACACGTCCCATCAGCTGTGAGACGCCATCCTCCTGCCATTAACGCCTCAGTGTGACCATAAAACACCATTTAATTAAACACCCCCCAAATATTGTGCTGCAAAGAGGTCAGGCAGGGGATGCTCCTGCATCCAGGGTAAGAGGCTGCACTGAGCACACAGTGGGTCAGACCCCGGCTCCACACGCGTGCCTGCACATATGAGCGCACTCCACACAGGCAACTGCATCTCTGTATGTGTCCCAAACCCAGCTGCAGCCCTGGGAACGCCGTGGAGGAGGCAGGGGAGGGGCAGGCAGGGTGGTGGCACTGACCTGGGGTGCGGGAGGGCGGTGGGGAGGAGGAGGATGTCGTGGCTGGCGCGCAGGGGGTTCGTCCGAGCCTTCATGCGGGCGCGCTGCAGCAGCTGCTTGGCCTGCTCGTGCCGCGGGCTCAGCTCGAGCTCCTGCCCAGGGACAAAGGCCCTGCAGCCCCGCAGCGGGGAGGGGGATTAGGAAAAAATAACAGGGATTAGACGTGGTTTAACAGTGACGAGGCTGCTCTGCCCAGGGAAAACGGGGCTCGGCCGCCATTCGTGGGCGGGCTGGCAGCCGCGCCAGGGGACGACCTGGCGGGCGCCCTGTCCCCCCCAGTGACAGGTGATGCTTTGAGGGGAGGCTCAGCACCCACAGCTCAGGCATAGGCAGCACTTTATGCCACGGGCATCCCAGAGATGGACAAGGAAACTGAGGCAGGCGCTGCTTCCCATCCCCACCACTGTAAATCCCACAGCGATGGGGAGGCAGGTAGGTTTGGGATGACCTCCTGACCCAGCTGCCTTCCCTTCCTTGCAGGGGGTCTTCCCCTGCACTCCCAGTCCTGCCAGCTGCAGAGTGGGAGACCTATCAACTCTCCCTGCTCCAGCACTGCCTTCCTGGTTGGCCATGGCCCTAATCCTCCTGATTAAAATAATCAGCTCAGGCAGTTGCTTTGGGAAGCCTGGCCTTAACCTCTTCAGGGCAGGAGGGTGGGCGCACACTGGCCTGTCTGTGCAGCACCATAGGGGGTCCAGGCTGCTCCCCAGGGTTTGGCTGCCCCTACTCACAGGAGGTGCAGCATCCCTGGCTCTGCCTTGCACCCCCCCGTCACTGATCCAGCCACCTGAGAGGAATAGAACCACCATCTTGGGGGCCTCTCCCCACTCACTGTCTTCCCCCGTGCAGCCCCCAGCCCCTCACGCTGCTGCCCAGCTCACCCGCCCATCCCACCTCCTTATTTTTAGTCCATACCTCAAAGGTTTATCATTAGTCCAACAAGATTACACATGCCTGCCTGCCTCAATCTTCTTAAGCACCTGGAGCAAATTTCTGTCCCATCATCTTCCCCAGCTCCCTTCCCACCCAGGGGTCCTGACTGGGGTCCCCAGTGCTCAGACACCTCATGGATACCCAGCTCCTGCCCCACCTTGCACCAAAGCATTGCTGGAGCCCGGCCACGCTCCTCCACCAGCTGCCACCCTGGGGGGGCTGCCCCACAGCCCTTCCCCAGAGCTGCTTCATGGGATGTATTTAAAACACAAGAGGGAAAGAGGGAAACCTCCATCTCTGCCGTGCTGGGACTGACCTACCTGCAGCCCTCAGCGTCCTGCAGTGAGACCCCCGAGTCCCAGTCGCCGTCACTCGCCGGCATCTCTGAAATGCAAGACAGAGAAAGGCACCAGCCTGGCTAAACGGCGGCCCCCACCCTGGCCCCTCTTGACAGCACCCCTCGCTTACCCCATCTCAACACCCTCTGCAGGGCTCTCCCAGATGCTTGGCTCTGGGAGACCCCAGAAGAGCAGGATATGGGGTAACAGCACATGGCATTGGGGGGGACCATGGGGTCATTGGGGCAGACGCTGTCAAAGGAGAAATTAATTCCCTTTTCTGGTGGCAGCTTCCAAAGGGACAGTGATGCCCACAGAGGGCTCCAAAAGGTGGGTTTCTTGCTCTTAGCAGTGAAATTCTTCACCAGAAAGGGACCACAGCACCCAGAACCTCTTGTTGGTAGCTCCCACATCCCAAGAAAGGGGATGGGGCAGCCCCGGGATGTGAAGGAACAAGGAGTTGCACCCACACCATGGGAGGCTGGAGTATGCCAGTGAGGACCCCACTTTGCCCCAAAGCCTTTCCCTCCCACACCCCCCAGCTCTCCTGAAACAGCTGCCACCTTCCCAAAATACACACCAGGAGCAGCAAGGCCCAGCACCTCCTGCAGCAGACGCCGGTTCCTCTCCACCCGCTCGGACAACGAGAGCCTCTCCCAGCCCTCTGCTGCAGGGGGGGACACAGAGGGACGCCCCCGGTCCCACGGCGGGGTTCGTGCCTCTTCATCCCGGGAGTGTCTCTCATGGAGGGAGGCAGAGCGCCGGGACTTGCTGCCCTTGTCCTGCAGGAGCTCGGTGCCTCCCAGCACATCTGCCCTGTGTGCCGGCACCCGCCAGAGCCCCGGGGTGCCAGGGCGGGGTGCCGGGGCCTGGGGGCTGCCATCCACAGGCTCCCCACCATCCAGCAGCCCATCTGTCAGGTAGGTTCGGAGCTGAGCCCGTGGCTCCACCGCTGCCACATCCACCCCTGGCTTCCCCCGCCGGGGCCGGGGTTTCTTGGGCGAGGGGCGCTCGGGGGTGGCTGCGGGGGTCCCCGGCCGGCCGCCCCCCCGCTTCTCCTTCAGCGCCTTCACCTTGCTCTCCAGGACGGTGTGGGGGCCATGGGTGGCCTCGGGGCGCTCCAGCGGGGCAGGAGTCCGGCTGCCACTCTGGCTGTGCTGCCTGGGGGGCCGCGGCACGTGCCGTGGCTCAGCGGGAGAGCTCCCCTCCATGAGTCCTGCAGAGGGAAAAACCAAGGGGAGGGTGGGTGAGTGACCCCCACACCGTCCTTGCCCTCCCCAGCACCCCACCTGTGCCTCCACAGAGGGCATCACCCGCCTGCCCCAGGCTCTGCAGAGATGGGGATACCTGTGCTGGGAGAGGGAAAACGCGTGCAATGGCACCAGAGTGTGCTCGGGGAGGAGGGGGATAGGGAGGAGGCACAGCACGAGGCCACCCAGCGACCCACCCAGAACACTGACACCGTGCCGGCATCGCTGGGGAGCGGGGGGAACGGGGCAGCAGCGGGGGAGCAATTGGGGAGCAGCGGGGGAGCAACTGGGGAGCAGTGGTTCCCCGAAGCAGGTGGCCAAAGGCTGAGCTGCAGTCCGGGTGCCCGCCCGCGCTGCTTCAGGCGCCCTGGGGCACCCAGCAAGATGCCCCGGAGGGAACCGGTACTTTCTGAGACAAACAGGGGCCCCAAAACTCCCCAGAACAGAAATCCCTCCCGGCTACAACTCGCCGAAGGTGCCGCCAGACAGACGCCACCCTCTGCTCCGCCCCGGCCCCCGGGGTCACACGTGGCACTGGTCCTGCGCCGGCCTCGTGGTGCCAATGCCCTCCTGCGCCCCGCTGGGAGCATCCCGGCCTCACTGGAACCCCCGGAGGAGCCTCCCCCGCGGCCGGGGCTGTAGGAGCATCCCCATGACACCCCCCGGGCCCCATCGCCCCCCGGCTCCCCGCAGCCCCGCGCTGAGCGGGACGGGGTCGAGGGCGGGAGGCGAGGGCTGTTCCTTACCCCCGGAGCAGCATCGGGAGTGGGCTGGGAAGAGGGGGAAGAAAGCGGAAGAAGGGAAGGAAGCAGGGGAGGGGAAAAAAAAGAAATTAAAAAAAAAACAAGGACAAACCAGCAAATCCCGGCCCCTCCAGCCGAGCCCGAGCTCAGCCGCTTGGCTGGGCTGTGGGGCCGTGGCTGGCCCTGCCTCCCGCCCCGGCCGCCTCCTACTCCTCCTCCTCCTCTGCGGGACATGGGGGGAGAGGAGCCGGGGCACTCGGCCAAACTCGGCCCGTCCCCGCTCCGGCGGCCGGGTGGCCCCGAAGGGCGATGCCACCGCGGCCACGCGACACGTCGGGGACAGAAGGGGCGACCCAACACCCCGCGTTGCCACCGAGGGGACCCCACAGGAGAGGAATCCAACACCCCGGGACGGAGGGATCCCAGCTGCCTTGGCCCGCTCTCAGGAATGTCCTTTGTCTGGGCTGCGGGTTGGGAAGGCAGCGGGAGCAAACCCAGCCCACCTCCCCGGGCGCTGGGTGCCAAGGGGTCTGTCTGTCCCGCACCGGTGGCTGGGGCTTCCAGAGGCTCCAAAAAGATGGGGAGGGTGATCCCGCGGGGTGGGGGTGTTTTCTTCAACAACACTCTCCAACAGCAAAGCCTGCCGGCTGCCGGCACCCTCCTGTGAGCATCACACGTTTGCAGCTGTGCTAAACATTCCTGCTTTCCCGGAGGCCAAATCCTGCCTGGCTCCAGGCGAGGCAGGGCCAGCCGAGCCTCTCCAGGCGGGAGCATGGTGGGAGCCGAGCTCGGTGCATCCACATATCATCACCCCTAGATCCAGCATGTGACCCACACCCGCTCCCCACGCCCCAACCCCCCCCATGCCCCTCCCCTGAGACCCCGCCAGGCGGGACGAGGGTCCCGGGTGGGCAGTGCTTACCTGGAGGTGCCAGACCTGCCGTCCCTGGGGGGCAGGAGAGGCGCTGTGGGGGCCATGGGCATCCCGGCCCCACTCCGGCTGCTGCTTTAAGCTGTGGCTTCTGATATTCGTGATTGGTTTCATAATCCCGATCAAAAGGAAATCACCAGGATTATGAAATTGTTTTAATCCTCCTGGCTCTGGCCACGCCGGCCCCTGCCAGCACGAGCAGCAAGAAATCACTCTTATCTTCTTAAAACGTCCCCAGCCACCCCGGTGGCCCTGGGGCCCCCCATCGTGGCCAAACGTGCGAGCAAGGGCTTCCTTTCCCTGTGGGGGTGACAGCCAGGATGACTCCTTGCTCCACGGGGGACAGACCGAGCGTCTTCCCAGGCAGGAGGTGCCGGCTGACAGTTTTGTGTGGAAGAGCCCAAGGCACAGAGACCGTCCTCCCCCTGCACCCCAGCGCTGGGGTCCAACCTCCCCTGCGATGCCAGGACCCATCCTTACCTCCACGCCATTCCAGAAAGGGATCTCGCCTCTTCTGCCCGGGCTGAGGAGGTGAAACACGTCTGGGAGTTGTCCCCATCCAGCTGGGGACGAACCAACCTCCCGGTGAGGTGCCAAAGCAAGAGCAGGCGAACTCCCGCCACCAGCCAGGCTCCTGCCACCAGCCAGGCAGTGCCAGGAGGGAGCTGCAGCCGGGATTAAACCTCTGGGAAGCGGCCGGCGAGAGCAGCAACAGGCTTAGAGTGATTTCAAGGCACTGGGCTCTCTTCTGGAGGAAGATTGATTGCAAGAGGCGATGAAGAGATTTAAGGAGCAAAATGAAGAGCAGAGACCCCAGACAACCCAGGGCTGAGCTGCTCAGCCTCTGGTCACCCACTGTGCTGGCAGGAAAACATCTTGGGTTGGAGACAAGCTGGAGAGAGGCAAGCAAAGGCTTCCAGAAGGACCAGGAGCCTTTGTCTGGTGCAGAAAAGTCTGGGCAGGAGGTTTCCTCCAGCATCAGCCCCTGGCGCGTTGCATTTGAGCCCTGGGCACCTTCCTGTGAGCCCCTCCTGCCCACCTCCAACCCCTCCTCAGACATCTCTCTCCTCCAAACACCTCCACCTCCTCCCGGGACATGGATTTTCCCCACTTCCAGCCACCAGTAACATCCCACAGCTCCCAAAGGCGCAAGAGCAGCGTTGCCACGGAGCAGTGGGAGCCAAAGCTCCATGTGTGAATGCAGCACAGGGGTGGGAAGACACACACGCAGACCAGGGACAAAAGAGCCACCAGATCATTGGAAAACAAAGAGCTTGTAATAATGAAAAAAGGACAGATTTCATAACCAATCACTTTTTCCTTTGAAAAAACACAATCACAGTAACTTTGCTTTATACAACCACCTAGAAACTATGAAACAGTATCACATTGTGCAGTATTTTTTTTTTTAAACCTACTTATCAAGAAGGGAATTCCACACTTCAAAAATTATATCCATTTGGGGGAGGAAGGAGGAGACAGCTAATAGCGCAGTCACAGATACATCATGAGTCCAAGCAAGCGGTAATTCTTTGTCCTCACCTTTTCCACTGAGCCAAAAAAGAAGAGTGGAGAAGGGGATAGCAAAAGAGAAAGGAGGAGGGAAGAAAGAAAGCACCCACAGAGGACTAATCACACTCCATAATTACTTTTGACATCTACAGGGCTTCATAGAAAGATCATTTAGACCAACACAGCGGGGAGGGGGAGGGGAAGGCGGCAGTGGGACCCAGGGGGAACTGTGGCATTCCAGCCTGGGCCCCTTCCAAACGCCGATCCTTCGCCAGGAGGACCTACGGGATGGAGAGGTCATCACAAGTTCTGCCAGGATGCCGAATTTCTCCTCTGGAGTGAAGAGTTTGCAATTTGGTTTCTAGAGCTTGAGGGAGTGTCAGGCAGGGTCGGTGCCTCTCGCCCACCGTGGCACAGCTGTGCCAGGGCCACAGTGGGCTCTGACTCCCACCAGGAACAGGACTGGGGCATCAGCATCTGGGTACACTCCATGTTGCTGTCCCTTTCCTCCCCTTTCCCTGCAGCCTGGATGCTGCAGCAGGGACCGAAGAACCCCAGGGATGCTGACACACCGGTTTAACCCCGTGGTGGCAGGTGACAGCTCGCCCCAAGGCACGGAATTTGGGATGGTGTCATGTAAAGGAGGCAAGGGGTGATGAGGTGACAGCCACTGAGCCCAGCCGTGACTGCTGCAGAGGTACCGTAGGGATTTTCCACTCTTCCCCCAGGAGCCCCAGCCCCTCTTTTCCAAGGAGACAAAACAATCCGATTGCCTTCTGGAATAAAAATATAAATTAAAAAAAAATGCTTAAGGCAGAAGATCATCTTCCCCCTGCGAGTGCAAAGCAGAAGGGTGGAGGAGAGGAGGGAGGGCACGGAGCCAGGATGTGGTGTGTGAGCAAAGCGGCTTTTGTGTTCCCAACTGGAGCCAAGCCGTGTCCCAGTCCCAGGACACATCCCAGCGTGATGGCCCAATGTTGGGGACACAACCTCCAAAGCCTGGAGCACACACCACATCCCAGCCAGCACGGCAGCATCCCTGCAGGACAAGGCCAAATCCACTCGGTGGTGCAAAACACAGGCCAAGCTCAAAGGCTTCACACCATCTCCTTTGTCAGTGGAAGGTAAAATACCCAGGGATTGTTACCTCCTGAACCAGGAACATGCTTTCCCTCCCTGTCTGCCACACTGCAGCAGTGGCTGAGTGCTTGCATGGAGGCAGAACAAGCAGCACAAGAGTTTTTAGGGAAGTAGGAGCAGCAGAATCCAACTCCGCTGAGATTTCCACAAGAGATCTCCCCCAGTCCAAGATGTTCATGATAAAGGCTGCAGCCCTTCGTCCCCTTTCATTGGCATTGGACAAACAGCAAAGACACCAACAGAATGACGAGGGCTTGGAAAGGCATAGGATGAGCACCAGCTGACTTTGGGAATGCGCCTGGATGCGAGAGGTAGGAGCTTATCAGGTACACAGAGGCTGCAGCCATGAGCACTGCAAATGCATTTCTTTTAAAATGTGGTGGGACAGCATCAGTTCCTGCTGATGGAACAGCTCCTGCTCCTGCTTGGTGAGTCCGCAGATCCCAAACCTGCCCCGCTGTCCCCTCAGGAGTGCACCCATGGCACATGGCATCACCCTGTCCAAGCCCAGGGACACCATCCCAAAGCCATGCAGGGAACCCCAGCCAGCAAATAAACTGGATGCTGCAACACCTAACCCCCTGCAATTCAAAAATCCCTGGAGGAGCAGCAGGACCGAAAGTGACAGGGAATCA